GGTACGGCCCTCAGACTACTATCCGCTGTTGATTGTACAGGCAGGCAGCGATGAGATAGCAGAGAGGAGCCCGAAGTCAATCAAAAGGGACTTCAGGATGCTAGGGAAAATGGTTGGAGGATCAGGAGCGCAGGTAGTGTTCTCCTCGATCCCGTTAGTGTCAGGAGGGAACATGGAAAGGATCAGGAAAACCAGAGCGGTTAATGCGTGGCTCAAAGGTTGGTGCCATCGGAAGGGCTTGGGGTTCTTTGACTATGGGGAGGTTTTTACGGCGCCGGGCCTGTTGACAACAGACGGTGCCCAGCTCTCTCAGAGGGGAAAAAGGATCCTCGCTCATGAACTGGCGGGGCTTGTTGAGAGGGCTTTAAACTAGGCCTGAAGGGGTTTAGTGGTGGGATGGCAGGGTTAGGTTAACGGTTGGACTCGATGATCTTAAAGGTCTTTTCCAACCAAAGTGATTCTATGATTCTATGATTCTATGAAATGATGGAAGAGGAAGGGGAAAAGAAGTATGATTGCACTCACTGTATAAAAATCTACCACATAGGAAGCAATGGGCAAGTGACAAATATTGAGTCAGGAGGATAAATCCCCAAAGACTCCCTTAAGCTATATCCTAGAAGATGCTAACTGCAATTTTTTTTTAATTATTATTCTTTTGTTAAGAAGACCTAAAGCTTCTGTCTTTTGTTTGTTTGTTTGTTTGTTTGTTTAATTTTGGCAGCACTCAAATAGAATATTGTGGTACTGAAAAAATTTTCAGTTGAATCAGCTTTGAAAAAGACCTTGGGTAAAACCTCATCCCTGCTAAAGACATGAAGAGTTTTGCCTTTAAGTCCCTTGAAAATTGCACCAATTAGGGATGTATCTGGAACAGGTGGATCTTTATAGGCCACATGATTTTGGAGTATTTTTCTTAAACTATTCCAGAGTGCAGTTACTGTAATCATAAAATTCTGTAACAAAGTAGGTGGTAAAGAATAGAAATCAGTATTAAAATTAATGCAGATTAGAAGTTCATGGAAAGACCAACAGTTCATATCTGAATTGGAACAGCAGAAGTGAAAATTTCTACTTGGAGCATGAGTAAGAAAAGGTAGAATCAGCAGCTTGTTCCCTTTCTAATTGTCTTTGGCGTGCCATCCAAACTGGCAACAAAAAGAGATAAAACCCTTTTCTACCTCATCAATTCATAGAGGAATTAGAGTTCCCAAATCTAGGTTCAATTTAACATATTCAGGTTTCAGCACATGAATTTCAGTTTCAGGATTGCTTAGGGTAAACTTTGGATCTAATATAACCCCTCTGGTTTTCGAGGCTACTGCTAAAACTGATGAATTTTTAACACAAATGCAGCTCAAGTGACTCAAGTTGGAGAGGAATCCATCTTCAGAAATGAATGGTCTTTATGGATTCATCACATCATCTATTATAGTGTGATATTAAGTTGCTTTCAACAATGCATTTCTGAAGTACGCATTTTGGTTGCATACCGATATACAAGTCAATTCATGTTTTGTAATTTTAAAGCAATGTACTTCATAGAATCATAGAATCATAGAATCGCTTTGGTTGGAAAAGACCTTTAAGATCATCGAGTCCAACCTTTAACCTAACCCTGACATCCCACCACTAAACCATATCCCTAAGCACCTCATCTATCCTTCTTTTAAATACCTCCAAGGATGGGGACTCTACCACCTCCCTGGGCAGCCCATTCCAGAGCCTGACAACCCTTTCAGTGAAGAAGTTTTTCCTAATATCTAACCTAAACCTGCCCTGGCGCAGCTTCAAACCATTCCCCCTCGTCCTATCATCTGTTACCAGAGAGAAGAGGCCGACCCCCCTACTTCATATCATACATAATCTTTCCATGATTTCTGGGGAGGTAAAGAAATTCCAATTAGTGGTATAACTCTCACTGTTCTATAAACACTGGAGGACACTACTTCTAATTTACTGAATACAAACAAAAAGAGTGCATACCTGAAGTCTGTCTTCTGATGAAAATTTGAAATGAAGTCAACTAGATCAGTCAGCATACTGATTTCTTTCTTAATCTCTTCTGTAATAGAATATAATTTTCTATATCTCTGCATTAAAACTGTAACTATCTTGTTGAATAATAATACAAGTTTTATCTTACACTGTACAATGATTGATAGTCTAACCACTGCAGGCAAAATGTGTTTGCCTGCAGACACCATCTTTCAGCCTCCATTACATATATTCAGTTAGCGACACTGACTTTCAAAGATGATGATGTCAAGACAATTTGGTTTTGTTTCTACTCTGGCCTTTTTGTTCTCTTCTTGTTCTTTGGTACGTACTGGCTACAAAGACGATTCTGCAATTGAGTCACACCACCTTTGTGTCAGATGTGGACATATTAGATCATGACAGAAGAGATTTTGACGCTACCCTTATAAAAATTTAATTGACCTATAGACTCAAACATGAGATTTTGGAGCCAGGGGACTCACATTTCACAGCTGTAAGATGCATATGGGAACATAGGGAGAGAAAGCCATGTCCTTCCCCCACACATTTGTGGTGTTTGAAACACCACATGACTTTGTTCAGCCAGCTTGTGTGTGAAAAAGTAAAATAATTCAGATTTTCTTTTTGAGACTAGTATGCTATTGTCAAAATATCCAGGAATTTCTTTGGCAGATTTATTCAGAGAAACCCTCTCTGGCCCCTCAAAGACACCAGTGACAGGATATTCATGTCTCCTTAAGTATTGAAGTCTGAACTCACCACCCTAGGGTCCCTTACCAGTCAAAGGAAAGAAAGACATGTCCAGGGGGAATTAATCTCATCATAAAACAGATGTTGAAAGAAAATCATAAGGATCATTCTCCGGACATTCTGCTTTAAGACATCTAAAATTAGGCAAGATAAATCCCACCCAAATCTATAGAGTCCAAACTTGACACACTGGTAAAGGAAATGCTTTCTGAAACAGCTTAGTTTTTATAGTCTTCCTTGTTTTCATCTGCTTCCTTCTTTTTCAAAAGGTAGATGTGAGAAAGAGCATGTAAGTTAATATTTCTGTGAGCTACATGGTATTTAAATTAAACAAATTCTTTTTCATAATCCCTAGATAGAGATAAGAAGTTAATTGAAACTAAAAAATAGTACATTTGTCCAAAAGTTCAAATAAAGACCTATACTCTCTTTGTTTCTTTGTTAATGGATGCCACAGTAAAGGACAATGACTGTGAATAAATGCCTCTCTCAGATGAAAAATGCTAACATCGACAGTATGTATATGCCTATAAAGATCTTGTAAAGAAAGAAAATATAGGGACCTCTAATCACGTCTAGTCATTGTTCTGAGCAACAGTTTGGGTTTTTTCCCCTGTGCTTCTAATGTTATATTCACTTGTCACATATGCTGTCAAATAACTAATTCTTTCTGGCAACTGGCAATTAAAAAGAAAAGTATATTACAGAAAATAAAGTCTCATTGGTTTCCATAAATTCATATGGGCTATGAACAATTAGGACAGTTCTAAACATACATTAATGGATAATTGTCATAAGCCCTAACTCTCACTGTTACTTTACAGGATAAAAATATAAATACAAAAATTCTCATAATAGTTGTACAATTTACTATTTCCATCTTATAAAACATCAGATACTTTGGCTTTGTATTTTATGTAAACTAGTGTAGAATTATAAACTTTACTTATTTTTATAATTCTGAAAATATATCATATAACAACAGTGCGTTACCAAAATTCAAGTTATGCTAAGCAACAATAATTATAGTCTCATCAGAGCTATATAAAGCATTATCAGATAAAATTTAGGTGCATCTATCTGTTGTTATAATTAAACAAATACACTACTTTAGGTAGCAAGAATCATTAATAATCTGAACTAAAGATGGCAAGAGGAAAAATCAGCACCTTCATTTGTCAGAATGGCTAGTGAGGCAAGAAAGATTCTATAACAGCAACAGCATCATAAGGATGAATAAAGAGCCATAAAGTTGGCTTGTACTGCGTGGAAGCTTGCAGATGGTGGATGAATTAATGTCTGTCACATTTTTATAATACAATCACTTTTACACATTGCTGCCAGATGGAACATAGTTTTGCATCTTGAATATAAATCTCCAAGAAATACAACTTCCTTCAATGTGTTCCCTGTATTTGAAATAAAAGCAAATTCAGAGGCAGGTTTGGGAGGCTAAAGCAGATTTAAGGAAATCTGAGAGAATATAAATCAAATCCTCAAGGGCTTCCTTGTTATAACTCAATTCACAATAACGGAGTTGGCCACGTGTTCTGTATTTTTTGAGGAAAAACAGGAAAGGTATCATACACTTCTACAGGAAAAACTACATGTCACTTATCAAATGCAAAATACATCCTAGGCAGGTCCAGAAGACCTTTCAATCAAACTTACTAGTAGTTTGGCAAAACTTTTGCATAACATTTATTCTTGTTTCAATAAAAAGAAATATCTATCCTACAAGATCAGATCATAAAAGTACAGTGCATGAAGCATAAAACCTTGCTGATAATAAACATTGCAATAAGCACCTTGCTGTTCTCCTTGTGTTAAATAATACCTAAACAGACCTAATATCTAATTCAGATCTGATTATACCAGTCTTTATACAGATGTGCTTTCTCAAACTATCAAGAAAGTACAGAATTATTTGCTTTTCTGTGTGCTTACCCATCACACCTGGCTTTCTCCTGTGTGTCTGGTCTTTGTTTCTAATGCTAGCTGGTATTGTGAAGAAGCAAATAACTCTGATAGCGATGAATTGAACTATATGACTGTAGGGGAGAATATTTTCCCATTCAATGATTTCTCACAGAGTCTAATTTAATGACAAACTTGACTTGACTTCTCTCAGACAGCCTCAAGCTCTGTTTATATGCAGATAATTCTGTGTGTGAACCCATTAGGCTTTTATGACAGTTACAATCAAATTTGATTGGGAAACCTTCTGGCTTACTTGGATCCATACTTACATTGTGCTTTGTGAGGTTGGAAATGTTACTTGCTATTGCTTGTAGCCAGTCAATACAGTCTTCAGCAGAGAGACACTGAATTATTCCACTGCAAACCCCATCCACAGCAATTACTTGGAACGCATTTTGCCTATAGACATGTCATAACAGATCAGGTCAGAAGAAAATTTCATCTGGTCTAGCATATCATCTTAACAATACTTGTAGAAATGCTTTTCTTTCAACTACAACGAAGGTCAGCCACTGAACACTGATAAATTGCTGGTTTTCCTGTTTTATAAATACCTGACATATTAAAAAGATCATGCTAAAAGGTCAACTCAGATTAAATTAAGTTTCTGTAAAGCTATAGAAAAATTCCATAGACTAGCTCCACAGAACCTTGACCAACACTGTGCGACTTCAGAAGCTAAACAAGTGAAACAGCTGATGCATACCAAAGAGTTAATTCTTTAATACTGCAGATCATAGAGAAGGAAAGTGTGCACTGGACACTGTAGGCAATCATTTGAGAAATTCAGTGGTATACAGTACATTTTTCTCAAAACCTTTTGTTTCATTTTTCTAATACATTCTTTAAATACAGTAAGATTCCTGTCTGGACACACCTTGTTGGCTGCTCTTGGTTATAGAATTTTGATCCTCTTCTAAATTACTGATAGAAAAGCTGGAGAATTCAAAATTGATCAGGTAGCACTGACTTTTCCCATTACATTTCTGAATATAGGATCATCAGCAAAATACACTGGAATGCCAAGAGACGTCCAATGACAAAAGCAGTGGCCACCTGGGTGCCTCTATCTCAGCACCAATCTGGGCACCTACACAATAATGTGTCACGCATTATAGACTGACTTTCCACAGGTGAGTGCTGAGCAATTATAAAGCAAGAGAAAACTTTCAGATGCTAAAGCAGTAGCAAATCTAATTTCTTCAGTAAATAGCCTTCTTGGCTAACAGCCTTTGGAAGGCTTACAGGTCTCTGTCTTCAGAACCAAAAAAACCTCAATATTAATCCATATCCAAGAGTAAGGCATTACTAAACATACAGGGAATACCAAGTTCCACTGCTGGCATTTTGCTACAAACCCATCCGTTAATGATCAATTTATGTTTTAAAATCAAGTACATCATTCAGCTTCTTTGAGAATGGCTCAGGCAAAGTGAGTGTTATCTTCAGTGTAAAACTGAGTGTCACTGATGACAGTTTCTGTCATCTCATGACAGATATTCATTCCGCAGAGTTTTTTTTTTTACCTCTTGAAATCATATTCTAGTTGTGTAGAATGTAGATCTAATAACTATCTCTATCATACAGGTCTTTGCTGCATCCGTGTCAAGCATAGGCTTTTCATTCAGTCATAAGAAGCGTTAAAAATGAATTAAAGCCATGCCTTTGCTTTGAGAGTCCCATCATGAGAACTAGCTCTCACAGGAGGATAAGGCTTATATATCCTAGCATGATCATGTAGAGAGCAGTGGTTATCTAAATCCATCAGCTAACTTATCAGTTTAGTTGCCTTTTCACCCGGGTAGTGTTTTTTCTTTAAAATCCAAAGTTACAAACTGAGAGCTACTTCTGTCAATGACTCATTTTCACAGTAATTCACAAAAATGTTTTGAGGAAGATTTATTTAAAGCCTCTTCAGGTAATATAGCTAGCGTTTGTTTTCTATAACCTTCATTTTAAATGGCTATAAATAGTAAAGTCTTCCAGAATAAAATTCTAAATAAGTCTACATAAAGAGCATAGCAGGATGCTCAGACATATTTGTTGATTAGGTCTTACACAAAAAAATAGCAGTATTTTCAGGACTTTCCTTCTTTCTACTCAGCCTATTGTAAACCAAAGTAGGAATCCAAGGAATCTATTAATGTGTGACACTAAACTGCACAAGCAAAGGAAACCAAAGATTCAGTCCTGATGCACAAATTTCCTTTACACTACACAGCGAATCTGATGCATTTGGGGCATCAGACTGTTCCTACTGTTCTTAGGTGTTTGATCTGTGCATATACAAAACCATTCATCCAGAAGGTTCGTGCCCAAGTATCAATAAGCACAGACTATAAATTGCATGGCTACATAATAAATTACTTCTCAACATTGTCTGGGCAGTAGATATCCTTAGCCTTAGGTTACTGTAATAGTATTTTCTGGAATTAGTCTACCAGCCAAAGTCTATACTACCACAAAAACCTGAAAAATAAGGTATTAAATACATGCTTTGTACTGAGTAGAACAAATAGTATATCAATCATTTTGTAATACAGCCAAAAAGTTAAGATCAGATGAATTCTTATTCAGCTACACATCTCAGGCTCTGTGCCTTCTAGAACTCAAGAGTTACATTTGAAATTAAGACACTTTCCAAGATTAACCTGAATGCCCTCTAAAATTTTATATGAATACCCTCTGGAATTCATGCATCTCAAGCACCCCGCTGGAAAAGCTAGAATATGATTATGAGGCATAATAGTGTATGTGATAATTTTATGATGTATTTCTGTGGCAGTCTTTTCAAACTCTGAAACATAAAAAGTTATTAGGCTTTATATAATGAAAACAGCCTTGTAAATATTAACTACAGAAAATGTAACTAATTAAATTCCATTTCATGTTGCTTTCTTATATTATTTTCAATATCCTTTCCTTAATGTTGCTTTTTATAGCAGTGTCTTAAAAATTATCTACCTTTCTCTCATAACAAATTTTGAGAGGGAGCCACATTTTAAAATGTTTACAGTAATTTAAAAGACTCTTATAAGCTGTCTTGCTGGCAAGAAAAAAATGTTAGTTGTATGCATTTTTTGAAGAAAACCCCACTTCCTCTCTCATATTTATACTGCATTTTTGTTTCCTTTAACTACTCTTATTTCCTCATGTTAGACAGCATAAATGGACACAAGGAGAAAATTATCAGAGCAGTTATTCAAGGTTTGAGTGTGAATTCAGATGTTTTGTATGAATATACTTTTAAAATTATTTTTGGGAAATGCAGATCTTGGTAATATCATTGCTACCTAAAAATCTTTCTCTGTAATGTACCAGTTCTATAATGTGCATTTTAAGGTTCTGTTTTATTGATTGACTGAACTTTAAACCCCTAGCTCTATGAACAGTTGAATATGTCCTAATTTTCCATGTGAGTAGTTGTATTCAATTTAACATAAGCTGTTGTAGCCTTTGGTTTACACCTTGACTCCCTGGGCCAGCCATTGTTCCTCAACAAAACAAGGATGATGCAGCCAAGGAAATACGATTTTGCTATTACCAGTCAAAAGCTGCAGGCTGTTTTTAGCTTCACAGTTATCTAGTGGTGAAATGACTATTGCCTAACCTGCTTTAATTTCAGCTCTGTGAATAGGAAAATGGCTGGCAGAAGTGTACTTCTAACAGCCCTTAGAATTAACTGAGGCCATGGGAGGTTTATGTGCAACTTTCAAATGTTTGCTGAGAACCAGTGAGAAAGAAATAGGCTGTGATAAGAAACAATAAGATTCATCCTGCACAAAACCCCAAACGGAGGTTGAAGAAAGCTCCTCTTCCCCTAGTTTCTGGGGGAGATCATAAACACACCCCTGAGGGCAGACAGTATCAGTGGACTGTAGGACCCATAGAAACACTGGAAGGGTGAGCAGAACAACAGAGAAAAGATACCGGGGAGGTTCTTTCACAAAATTCCAGAAATATTACTGAAGCTTTCTATGTTAATTAGGTAATTTTACATGTGTATGAATGGAGGAACTGGAAATTTTAAACCACTAATACCTGATGGACCATCAAGGCATAGCATAATACACTGTTCTGCCCAGACTCACACATCGAAGCTGGCAGACATGAAAGTTAAATGGGAAAGCCAGATTTTATTTTAATTAGTAAGGCCTCACAGCCTCACAAATAAGTCCTCTGTACTTATTTCAAGAGTTAGTTTCAGATGGGTTAGAAGAAGAAGTAATGGAGAAACAGGCTTTATAACTGTAGACAGCTGTCCTCCAATTAATGACTTACATGCTGGAACTCACAGATTTTGTTAGTGTTAGAACTTCATTCTTATATATACAGATGATAAATTAATCCACACAATACCTAGGTGTCTAAAATTTTAACAAGCATGACCTGACTTATATACCTTGCCTTGTTGATTTTGTAGCTAATGTATTTCTTTTCTATTTAAATGCATAACACTTGAAAAACAGTAATCATTCCAGAATATTCTTATCTTCCTTTCTGATTTCTTCTGATTTACTAGGATAATATTAAATTAAACAATAACAGGTTGTTGTCTATATGATGCAATAAATTTAAATCTGACTATGAGTTTTGGACAACTTCCCCAGTGATTGGGAGACAAAACAGCAATGAAATTCAATGTTAATAAATTCAAAGTATCATATATGGGGAAAAAAAAACCCCTTAGCTATAGATAAGCAACAAAGAACCTTATTTTAGCTATAAACATTGAAGAAAAAAATGCAAGAGTTACAAACAATTCTCTGAAAACCATCACCTTAGTGCTGTGAAAGTCAAAAGGTAATAGGTTATTATAAAGTGTTAGATAAGAACAGAGAAAAAAATGGAAAATATCATTATGTCTTAATGTAAGTCAAGAGGATCCTTCTTGCAGTCTTGATCACCTTGTCTCATAAAAGATATATTAGAACTATGAAAGAAACAGAGTGAACAACAAGGATAATCAGAGCTATGGAAGGATTTCCTTAAAAGGATGTAACAATAGGGATCCTTCAAACTGGAAAACAGAAGACAGTCATCTGAAGTTATAAAAACATAAATCAGGAATGCTTATTTAGCATTTTGCTTGATACAAGGGTCAGGGCCCAGACTCCAGCCTCTTACCCCCCCTGATGCCCAGCTGCCTGTGCTTGAGGCCAGTTCTGCCATGGGATCTGGCTATGGGATGTGGGATCAGGCTGCTGTAAAAGAGCTTGAGTAGGGGGTCTCTCCCTCCCTTTACTCAGGAGCTGCGTATCAGCTCAGGCCCTTGCCCTTGGTACCCGTCCGAGTTTTGTTGCAGACTGTGCCTAGACATGTGTCCCATTGATTTGGACCCAACCCATGGGCTTACTTCCCAGCCTGACCTGAGCCTTACCTCACCATGATGGACTCATCTGAAGACCACCCGTAGGCCTGCTCTGCTCCTCCACTGGGGGCAGTTGGACAGGGCCTTTGACTGCATTGACACTGCCTCATCCAGCCCCTCTGTCACCCTCTGCTCTTGGCTCACCTTCCCCATGGAGCAGCCAGCCCTTGCTGCTCCCAAACAACAAGTTTATTTCACCCAATGAAGTTATCAGGTGAGAGATTTAACAGACAGGAAAGGAAATATCTTTTCAAAACATAATTACATTGCAGAGCTTAATGCCACAGTGCATGGCAAAACCCAAAGGTATAATAAAAAGCAGCTTAGAAAGAAGCTTTTGAGGACAGGAGCATAAGCAGTTATTAAATATGATGACCTACGTGCAATCTGAAACTGAGAAACATGCTGACCACTAGGTGCAAGTGGGAAGAACACACATCTTCCCCACATACCTGGTCCTGGCTGACGTCAGAGCAATATGGGCCGAGATGGACCTAGACCTTATGAAAGCTCCTATGTTTCATGTCTTTGTCAGCTGCGGTGGAACTAATAATGCCATTCCTCTAACAAGGCAACTCCCTAAGGCTTTTATCTGTCAACCAAGAAGTCAAGCTTCAACTTTCTAAACTTCTTTACCTGCACAAATCTGATCCTGGAAGGTACTGGGAAAACCGTGAATGAAGAAGTGGAATTAATCGGAGATCACACCACCTTTTTTCCCACCTAAGTCCTGGGGATGCTGGCCATGAGGAACATGATAATGTATCCTGAAAAATATTAAAAGGTCCTTCTCAGTTTTGGGCTTCATCATAAGTACTCAGCAGACTTGGAAAGAGAGAGATAGACTTCAAAGACTTTGTATTTCATTTGGCATTGTATTCCACTTTCTGCAAATCATTTTGCATCAGTTTTAGCTAGCACTGGAGAGTTTCTGAACTTTTTCTCACAAATAAAACAAATCTATATAAACCTCAAGATCAATATGCTTAGAGGAAGTGTGAGGAACAGTATTCTAAAAACCTAGGGAAAACAGATTGTCTCCTTTTTTTGAAATGACTAGTCAAGAATAGAAGTGAATATTTACTGTGTACCACATCACCAGCTACTAGTTTTATACCTGTACCCTGAATAAAGGTTCAGTATACAACCATAATTCACATTTTTCCTGTAGCCCTGTACACATTTACACACGTCTATTCTAATGACATCACCTCAAAACCTGGTAATTATGAATGGGATTTAACATGTGATGAAAATTGTTTAGTCAAAACAATGTGCTTATGACAAATTTTACCTATTTACACAAGACATTACTTATATGAATAGTGACATATCATGTCTATGATCATATATACAGAGAATGACTATATAAATATCTACAGTCCAACTTCACCAGTATTTTTACAGAATATAGATTTGAACAAGAAATGCTTATAAAAAATGAAATTATCAACATTTATTTTTATAAATCCAACACCTCTTCCTTTCTTTATAAAATGCTTTATGAAAAAGTACTAGTGATTATGTTATTTTTCTGAAGAAGCATGATTCTCACTGAAATGTATGTAGCACTTTTGGTATATCAGTAAAGTTGTACCTGCCAATCCTGAATAATTTACAATTTTTTAACCTCAGACTTAATTTTTTTTTCTTACTTGAATCTTCTATAAAATAAATACTACAAAAATTAAGTACACCTTGTATTTTTCTAGAGTAAGATTTTCATTTAAGATCTATGGAATTATAAATCTTTGCCAATTTGAACTTTACTTTTACATATATATTCATATATCTTTTACATATGTAAAATAAAAGATCACTATGAACATCAATTTATCTGAACAGCAGGCTTTTTATAAGTAGATTCACTTACTTAAAACATCGAATCTCTGGTGAAACATTCCATATATTCAACCAAAATAAATAAACGATTGGCTAGGAAGACTAAGCTAGGACATTATTTTGAGCATTGTCTTGAATTTTTAATGTTTCCTGTCTGCTTTCAGGTACCTTTTTTCAGCCATGGTTAAACTTGAGGAAAAAGCTGAAATGCAGCAAAAAGTTTAGATGCAAACGGTAGGCCTAGATCTGGCTGCAACAGAAATGTTAACCCTACCTTTAGCCTGCATAACTCTCAGTTGTTGACAAAAAAACAGAATCAGTCCTGTCTACTCCAAATTCTGAGTCAGAAGCCTCCTTCACACAAATCACCAAGGCTATAAATGAAGAAATAGACTATGGCCATTACTCAAAATGCATTCTAGAGAATATTCTGAGAAAAAGAAGGACCATGACATAAGAGAAGTACATAATTTAAGAATTCATACATAGGTCTTATTTGGTTTTATGAAGCTTTCTATTCCCATTACAAGGGGACGTCTGAGATAAGAACCACATCATGGTCTTCAGCAGAAGAATTTAATTTAGGGTGAGTTATAGACTCATGATGCCTGATTACATTATTTAAACTGAGAGAAAAAGACTTGGTTTCAGTAAATCATTATAAGTTCAAACAGAAACTGTGGCTGATTCAGATCAGTTTCGACAGCTGCAGAAATAGGATTCACAAATGGAAGCATGATTTTTATCCTAAAAGCAAAGTTAGAAATGAAGTGGCTAGCAAAATAAGTTTAGAATCTGCTGCAATAGCCTTTATACATTCATACATACATAGACTGTTGAGATAAGTCTGCTTCTGATATTGTTGCACTAGTTATATATATATTTATTTTATTGTTATTATAATCATTATTTGACCAATTTTAAGACACTAATTTTATTTGTTTTATCCCATTTCTATGAAATTCAGCTCAATAAAAGTGTATAAATCCCAAAAGTTTTCCAGAAAATAAGCAGGCTTAAAATCTATGCTATTAACTTTCAAGTCTCTGGACACCTATTTAAAACTTTTACCAATGAAGTGTGAAAGAACAATAAGATAAGCCAGAAATGAAAAATAGCAAAGTTTACAGAACAATGCTTAAATTTGTTTTTTGTAATATATTTGTAATAATTATGCTGTATATTAGCTTACTTATTCAGTGCTTTTTATTTTAACTGAGTATTTTCACCTATCACAAAGCCAAATATGCAGAAATAAACCCTTTAGAACTATATGAAATAAATGAAATTTTGCATTTCCTGGCTAAGAAAATTGTTAAAAGCCCCTTGTTGCACTTCAAAAACATATTTTACTAAAAATCTGACCAAATATCTGTAGTATTTCATCCTAAAGAGACTTTGCTCCATAATGTTATAATTCTTCAGTAAGATTTTAAGTGGAAGTTACTAGAAGTAAAATGCTCTTACTTTAAAAATAGGCAAAAACATTTACCTAAATCATCCTTTGCAAAAAGTTTTTGATAATAAATAAAAATCATAGAAAAATATGCTGAAAAAAAGTTTTCTACCTTTTCTTTAAATAGATATATTTTTGTTCTAGTAATTTTAATTTCTGTGGTGTGGAAACAATCTAGAAGAAAAACTTTTCGCAAAGTCCCTGTTCCCCAGATAAAAATAGTAATCACATCTATCAAGGCACAATCTCAGCTGGTATAATTTGTCATAGTTTAATTTGCAGCCATAATATCTGGCAACTCTTTTTGCCCCCTATGGAAATGTCTATCTCCAATATTAATTAGAGCTCCTCCCATGTTGCTGTCCTTTATTAGTTGCTTCCACTGAGCTATTATAGTATTATTATTATTCTGTGTAATTCCATCAAAGAAATATAAGCTCTTACCGTGTTGTTGGGATGGTAGTTGAGATGTAAACCACTGTCACATAGGGGAGAGGATGTGCCACTGCTTTGGTCACTGGGAGCACCTAATACAAACATGAACACATCAAAAAAATCTTCATTAATCTATAATGCTATAATTCAAATTTGTGTATGCCTGTCTGTCTGTATTCCTCTCCCCCCACTAGTTTTGTCATACCTAACATTCATTTACTTTCTCCATTCAGCCAGTATCTCTCCTCTGCTCGGAGCGGAACGCCTTTTTAAGCTGAGTGGAGGCTCAAAAATCCCTCCCCTGATGCTTTGCTTAAAAGTTAATAATCTGTTTAGTAAGAAAACCCCAAAGGTTTTTGCAAATTTGATAATAAAAGCGTGTACCTCCTCACTTGGTTTTCACTTGAAGGAACTAGTTAGGTAACACTTTTGTTACTCTCGATGAAGTTTAATGTTCTAACTGTTCTAGTAACAGTTTAGGAAATTACAGATTTACACCTCAAAATTAACATGATAGGATCGATGCAAATGCATGTTTGTGTGCATTACTCAGGGCACTCTGTGATACACAACCTTTCGTAAAAGGGACAAATGTACTGGGATATGTTTTTATTTAAGAACATGGTGTTCTAAATTTTTTCTTGTCTCACTAAAATTTAATACGTTGGTGAAAGATAAAGACAGTATTTCAACAAATGATTGTATAAGATATTATTTAATAATTTATTTTATTTAATTCCTACTAACTTAAAATCAAAGGCTAAAAGTATTGAAATCAACTATTTATTGGTTTGTTGCTTAAAAACTAAGCAATTCATTTCACCCTCTTAGGAGCAAGAAGCAGAAGGAAAACAGCAGCGACAAAAGGCACAGGCTGCCATATAAATATGCTTAGATATGCTGCAACTGCCTATAATTATGCACCCACACTTACAATTTAATGTAACTGAAGGAAGACAGCTGTCTCCATATGTCCCTCATGGGACTAGTTCACTAACACTTGGTTGGACTTAAACAAAATACTAATCATCCCAGAGTAATTTATTTTTAGGTAGACAGACACCTCCACTAAAGCCTCTGAATTTTAAATCATAAAGTTAAGCCCTCTAAATATATACAAATAATCTTATTTTCAGATTTACAAGACAAAACTCTTTCAGACTAAAATGCTATCTGATGCTGCCTGAAAAACTGCTTTTAAATACTCTTCTTCAGGATGTGAGCTACCATAAATTAATGCAATTACAACATTTTACCTGCAATTTGCTGATTCCCACCAGCCAAATACCTGGTGGTCTATTTTTCAAGTAAAGATTGCGGTTTTTTGCTTGAGGTGAATGTTACTACAGGACCTGGCAATACAAGCGGCTCATATTCAGGCAGCAACACTGAGCTAAAAAGCTGCTGTCAATCACCCTTGATGCACAGTAGGTTTGGAAGCTGCAAGCGTTCATGAGCATTGATGTGAGTTTTCTTTTGGCCAAATAATAAAGGCTTACATGCACAATCTTCATTCAGTGGGAGTTTGAGAAAAGCGGGTGCTCTTTTCAGAAAGGACACAGTTAGGGTCACTTCTTCCCCTGCATTGCGAAGGACCTGAACCTGGAAAAGAAATACAGACAGGACACCTTGAAATAAATGTATGACCATCAGCAAATGTAAGCAACGCCACACAGCTTTCATATACTTGAACAAAACTGCTTAACAATTTATTGCAGTGACATTTTCTTAAAAAGAAATCAAGATGTAAAGCTTGCTATATGCTTATTTGTTGTGTTTGGGGGTGGGGTGGGTGGGTGTGGGATTGGCCTCCTATAATAGCACTGGCTTTGCGCTGTGCTATTGCACAACTTGCTCCCTGACACTGTTCAGTTGTGCACCTCCTTTCAGATCTGGCATTGTCCATGCTAGCATGCACGTATAAATTTTTTTTCCTCCACTGAGATGGTCTCACAAATCTCCAACCAAAACAATAGCAGTAGTTTCCACAGCTGTGCTATAATCCTATGAGTAAATCTTTCCATCAGTCATAGTTAAATTTAGCTGAAGCACTCCAGCATGGATGAGAGACCTAATCTTCCTTACAGGCACAGAGGAAAAGTACCTATTTTAAGCCTTAAGTCTTGGTTAAGCACAAGCTTGGGTTTTGCCAAAGGGCAGCTTGCATTTTGGACATAGGAATGCGTAGATCACCTATCCACCTGTGAATGCTTTTAGTCTTCATCTAACTCTCCCATAATTACTCCTGTGGCTCTTGTTCATGCCTTTAGCTTTGGTTTGGTGCAGCTGATAGACACCTCAAGACACGTAGCAGAGAAAGGGAACCTCAGCCACCACCCCAGAGTGGCACCAAGGAGGCAGGGAAGCAGCTGAGCAAAATGCTTTACTTAACAGTGGAGGAATTACATTTGAATTGGTTTGTAACATGAAAGCTGAGAAGCTTCAGGTCACATAACTGTTTCAGAGAACAAGCATTTCTTGTTCTTCTGGCTCTATAACTTCAAAACTCTGCAAGGGCTGATTTAATTTGGGCTTACAAAGACAGAAGACTGCGCCATGCCTCTATCTGAGTGACTGTGCTCATACTGTGCAGAGCGCCAGCTTGCTGGGAACAGTCGTTGGAGAGCTGCTATGCAGTGACATATTAAAAGAATGTTTTAAACTAGCATATATCTGTTCCCTTTCTGCTGTGTTTTCATGGTAGCTGGATAACACACAGATAACCCCTCTGTCATGCTGCTGTTTATGAGAAAGCCTTGTAAAGAATTTATGGCGGATTGTTATTCTTTAGTCTATACCTATCAACAACCTATCCTATGCATTTAGTTACATGCATGTATATAACTATATGCAGGGATGCTTTCACAAGGAATCACTGCATTAACTTAAAGCAATTCTTCAAGAAAAAATGTTGACTTTGCCTTTAATCACCATACTTCCTAATCCACACTGGTTGCTACAGAAGAGTAACAGTATGATGACAGAATATTTGATTCAGTATCTGAAATCCACTCTAAAATTTTAGGCTCTTTATTGTTTAAAACAGCACAGTGGTTGTCAAGGCATGACTTGCAGTGCAGTGTGTATTTATATGTATGTGTGCAAATAAACACACACACACACACACACACACACACACACACACCACAACAAATTTCATCAACTTAAACAGTATACCGAAAGCTTCATCTGTAATATTAGCCTCTTCAATGAGCACTTGCCAGTTCTGGTATGTTTTATACCTTAGAATTCATAAGTAGTACTTATTTCATAGAAAGAAGATGACTTGTAATCTGTGGAACAGTAGATCAAGACTCTGAAGTCCTGAATTCCACCAGAGAAACCATACTGTAACCTCAGCCTTCATAGAAAATTCATCTTTCTTCTCAATTATGTAGCAGTCACACAGTCCAGAATAGCCATAGCCAAAGCAGTAACTTACAGGAACGTATATCTCTAGTGCAACAACAGATGTGGATAGACAAAGTGCAGGCAAAATACAGCTACCTTCTGCCTTTTAAAAAATATTTCTTTTTACTCAGGAACAGGGAAAAAATAAGTGGAGAAGTTACAGCATTACCAACTTTAACTTATAAAGTCACCTTTTAAGATACCTAAGATTAAGTGGATATCATTTGTGAAAGAGGCTGAGACAGTAAACTCTGCCCTTGAATCTTTCTTCTTCCAAGAGTAGAACAAGCCACAACCCTACACAATCCGATAATATATTGCTCTGTGAAAGCTAGAAGTTGCCTAAGTAGTCTACTGTGACCTTCTTCTCTAACCTCTCTCTCTCTCTCAAACCTCTTCATCAAATAGGATGAAGAATTTAAGCTGGTACACAGTTTATTTGAAATCAGCATACTTCTTTCACTGAAGCTCATTTTGGAATATGTGAAGCATAGTCTTTATTCTACATGTCAAAATCTAGTCATTTTCTGGATTATATGCTTCAAAGAATCCAGAAAATGATTAGATTTTGACATGCAGAATAAAGACTGAAGAGAGGTAAAATGTTAAAAAAGAAAACTACAAGGTAATGATTACAACAAAAAGGAGATGGGATATCAATCCCATTTCACTTACTTTCCAGTCATTATCAAAGCCATTCTGGGAAATAAGGTTAGCTGAAGAAAATAGGATTTTTAATTAGATTTATTAATTGTCCTTTTGTAGCTTTCAGTTGAAAGCTTTACTTTTATTTTACATTTTTTGTCTTTATTTTACATAATAAATGAACAATTACTGAATTGTTTTAAATCCAGTATGCCTTACAGGATTAATTTTCTCTGTGTCCTCATTCAATGCATACACCATGCCATTCCCCCATGCAGAAAGAGAATGAGGTACAATAGGAAATCTAGTCTTACTGAGGAATATTTTTAGTGCTATACCAGAACAGCTCATGTTCATGAATGGAAAATTAATTGATAACTTTTAAAAAAAACATAACGGCCAAAAGTAATGTGACTAATTGTTATGGGTAATTATGACTATGGAAAAAAACACTTGACAGTCAAAGAGTTTGTCCAGAAGATACAATACAGCATGAATTTCTAGAGTTTCACAAACACTAGTGGAATTCTACCAATAGTCAGAGATACTGGCATATTAATTTTTTTTTTCTCGCTTCCTCATTGCCTAACTTCAGTTCAGCTCAAAACTTTAGAGAGCTATTTTGGTAAAATGAGGACTGTGTGAATGTAGATGTATTGCTTGTTCAGGCTTGGAAAATGTACATTCATGAAAAATGAATTTATCTGCACAAGTATGTCTATGTGGACCTGAAGAACTGGTAGCATATTCCACTAACAAAGCAGTAATGAGCTTTTATCACTGAAGTGAATTCATGAACATACTGAAGAAACCAGTTGTCAATCATGATATAATTTTTAGATAAAGAAATGGATAGATATCTGCTCAGCCATTCTGCTCTCTTACTTAGAAGAAAGCTCCCTCACATTTATTGTATACACATTGCCAATACCTTGTCAGTCAAGCACCATCACTGACAACGTATGTGTTGGTTATTTCTGGCAGTGATAATTCAAGAAGTATTTCAAGGTTACTTTCAAACATAAGAGGGAAGTAGACCATCTAAATCCTGTTTCTATCCTTTTCAGAGTTACAGCATATTTTCAGATTTATAAGGAAACCTTAAGGCTAGGTTGATCAGACTAACTAGCTCTGGATTTTTTTGCCAGCACCATCACATATAGTATACATGATAAAAATAACTGAAGACTAAAAAGCTAAGGACTATTTTCTGCTTCTTGCAAACAATTAAGATCTCTTAAGAATTTGCAGTAATTCAGAAGACTTTCAGGATTTTTTCTTATATTGCAATGTCTATTTCATTATTTTGATATAATTATGTTAAAATCCTTTAATTCCTGATACATTAGTTCATGAAATAGAAAAAGGTGGAGTTCTATTGTTTGTTTGTTTCCCCCATTCAAGGGTAAGTTGTATTTTAAATAAGAAAAATATAGAAGTGTGGCGATCTTGATTCACTGAAGGTTGAACAGTGGCATTAAAGTGGTACCCCATCTTTTTCAGTAAATTAAAAAAACCAACAACAGATCAATGGAAAAAGTATGCTAATTTTATTGCACCCCACTTCCTGTTCTATAGAACTGTGTCTGGACCTTCCAAAAATAATTTTTACTAGGGATACTGCATACAATTGTTGATTGATCACTGATTTCCATAATGATCCCATCCTTCACAAAAATATTCCAACACTGGGTAGAATACAACTAACATTTAAAGTCTTGTTAAAATTAGCTATTTACTTGAAGAGTGACTAGTCCACAATTAATTGCTTTCTTTTAAAATGGTTTTCTTTTAAAATACAAAGTGGCTATTTTAAGAAACAGTGCTTCTATAGTAACTGTACAATCAAACTACCAAAGACAATGCTAGGCACAAATAACAATTCTTATCAGTCCTGGAATAGAATTAAAGCCTCAGCTCCACTGAGTATAAATGGTAAAAATATTTTCAATATTAATGAAATGTAGCTGTATAAGTAAGAGATTTTCAGTTCCTTACTGCTAATAGAGAAGGCATTTTAAATTTACATCAAATAAGAATATTTAAAACATTTGCCCTAGAATGTGAAAAGATATAAATTGACACAACTTTGAAAAAGTGAAAAAGAAACATATTTTTTTAAGTAATACTAATTTTGAATAAATATAGAAACATTATTTCAAAAAATTCAAAGCAGAAATGCAGCAAATTCCTAAGATGCTTTTTTATTATATATGATGAGTTTGGTGAAGGTGAGAAAAATTTATAGTGCTAAATCCGTGGAAAATTGCCTGACAAAAACTTAACTCAGTAGTAGTACTAACATTTCCAAAGTCTAAAAAGATTATATATTCCCACCAAAAGCCATGGAAAAACTCCCTTCGGAAGAGATCTCTATGTCTATGCATTTGACCTGACAATTTCTAAAGCCATGCATCCCAGACTGCAGAAAATCCATGACTAGGCACCATTAAACAGATTTACTTATTCTCTGTATCACTGAAAGGTTAATAATCCGTTTTATTTCCAGAGGCTGTACTGAGTATTCGAGATGTATGTTTTTTTTC